AAACTAAAAGAATCCTAGGTTTACTGGCTAAAGTCTAGAAGGCGATCACAGGCTTAACGCCTTAAGTAAAATTTAACTTAAATCATACATACGAATGAATAGCGTTGAAAACTTAAATTAAAAATCACAAGTAAAAAAAACCAGTACAGTGGGGTCGGGGCATAGTGGGGACGGAGCATAGTTGGGTCGGGGCATATTGGGAACGGGGAGGTCACAGGTTTACAGGAATTTTTAAATCTGAAAGTGATAAAATCACTTTCGAAAAAACGCTTCGATGCAAATCGGTAGTTAGTATTTTCAAGCCAGTACAGTCCAAACCAAGCACAGTATAAACCAGCAAAGTTAGAAAGTTTTAAATGAAGATTCTGTATTTACAAATGAGCATCAAAGCGTTTATTTATATGCGATTTTATCCGAGAGGACTAGTACAGTAGAGTATTGGCATAATGTAATCAAAGCAATGAGGAAACGGAGTGGTCACAGGTCTACAAGAATTATTATAAATAAAAGTGATAAAATTGAATAAAATCGCTTTCAAATAAACGCTTTGATGCTCATTTGTAAATACAGAATCTTCATTTAAAACTTTCTAACTTTGCTGGTTTATACTGTGCTTGGTTTGGACTGTACTGGCTTGAAAATACTAACTACCGATTTGCATCGAAGCGTTTTTTCGAAAGTGATTTTATCACTTTCAGATTTAAAAATTCCTGTAAACCTGTGACCTCCCCGTTCCCAATATGCCCCGACCCAACTATGCTCCGTCCCCACTATGCCCCGACCCCACTGTACTGGTTTTTTTTTTTTTTGCAAAAACTTAGTGGACCAAATAACACATATACAATGTCTTGTTATATTTTGTTGGAATGGTCGACGATTCATGTTTCAATCGTTTGTACTCCATAGTTTAAATTATAATCGCTTATTCTCAATAAAATTAATATTTATGTATTATATACTTCCATTAAAGCAATCTCAAACAAACTATTTATACTTCACAGATTATATTATTTCAAAGCTATATTATACTTCTATTTTACTAGATTGACAATGTACAAAATAAAATGCAACTAAAAAAACCTTTTCATAGATCCTTAAAATGTAAAGGGTGGGATAGTGAAACGGGTTTTTACCATTTAAATACATTAGAAAATCGCCGTTTTACTGCCTCATCCTGTATATTAATTTCTTGTTATTTTCTAAAGAAAAATCGATTTTCTTACATTTAAATTAAAATAAATCGTATACTGGTACTGTGATGGAGAAAACAATAAATTTTACCTACATTTATTACTTATTAGTTAAATATTACTAACATGTATAGCCACTAGCGGTCGGCTGTTGCCTGTTATTTAACAATAACCTATTATGGAGATTTTAAAAATTGTGTTTTTTTAATAATAGCATAGGAGCAGTATCATGATATTAAATGTTCACGAGATCTGATCTAGTCACAAAATAAAGTATTATCATTTATGACTTAATTATTATTAAAATTTATCTTAATAGTAATGGTACATAGTAATAAAATAATGAAATATTTTTTACAAAATTAGAGCTACAAGTTGATAAACTAAAAAAATAAAATTAGCACGAAGCAGATTATCTAATATTAGACAATTTAAACAATCAAGCGTGAATCTCTTTAAATGAATAACAGTATAACAATATACAAAACATAAGTTTTCCTTTAAAAAAATTGTGTAATAAAAAAAACATTTTGAGGCGGTATACTGCATAAAAACCAACACTTAATCTGAATCCAAAAAACAACAGTCCTCTTCATTATTTGCAGGTAGTTGGACATTAAATACTCATAGTTAACCTTCGGTAAGGTTATATAACGCAGGCTATAAAATAACGAGATAACGAAAGTGGTTTTGTCGTATCAGAATCATTAAATGTCTTAATAAGTACACGGATAGGTTTTTTTCCCAATAAATCGAGTGTCTACTATAATCAGTTACACGATTTAGTCGCCTATGATATCATGTAATAAACACAATATTATGATACCGATCATTGGACCCTAACCTAATCTATCACGGATAGACGTTACCAACTGATAGTTTTTAGTGTCTGTTCGTTTCTCACATCTGGTACACTGGGTTTTTAGTTAAAAAAAAAAAAAAAAAATGAACTTTGTGTAAACTTTAAGTCAAGAGTGGTACTTGAGCACAAAACCTAATAGTATCATTCTGCATAGATATAAATAAAATTGTTTTAATGATTTGATCAATTTTTTTTAAAGATTTTAGGTGTTTTTGTTGAAATATACATAATCTGCGAAAACATAGTTTCCCGGCAATTAAAAAAAAACTGTAGTGCCGAATTTTTTTCCCGTTTAATATGTTATGGGTACATATGAGTTCCAACTACTGGCAAATTTTCAACCCAAAAGTTTTAAAATTACGGCTAAAAACCCCGAAAAACAAAAAAACTTGTACCCCCCCTAGGGGGGCGGGAAATGGGTATATTTTGAATTTGACAAAACTGACGTGCGCGGGCTTACCAAATAAATATTTTTTAAACATTTCAACTCGATCCGACTCTTTTTCTTGATACTATAGCCAGTAAAAGTTCTAACTTAAAAACTCGTACGGTTTTTTTTTTGTTTTTTCAACTTTCGTCTGTGAAGACTTAAATTTTTTCAACTTTTACCCCCCCAAAGTACAAACTAGACAAAATTTGTGATTTATAGAGTTGCTATTCGAAGGAATTGGTCTAGTATTAAAAAAGTTACAGTGTATACAGCGAAAAAAAAAGCCCACATCAGAGTAAAACCAATACCTTCTCGCTTTGCATCGAAGCTAAAACAAACTCTGCCGCAGTTGATGTATATAACTATACATTAAATGTACTATAGATAAATAATGTCCATGTTATGATGGGAAACGCATATAACACAAATATTTTAGTGTAGATTTTGGACACTGGGAGCGATCAATGTTGGGAAGAGTGGTGGAAACGTGTGGTATAGCTCAAACCAGAATAAATTATATGTGATCCACAAAAAAGCATATGTTTGAAATCCATTCTGAGCCTTATTGACAGAAAAACTAACTAAAAAAGAGCTTCCAGCTGTTCCATACGCGTTGTTTATCTATATTACATTTAATCTATAATATAACCCCGGCGCTGTTGATTTATATTTTTTAGTATACCACCTTAATTCCACCGGCGCAATAGATGTATACAATATAGGTAGTTGCCCAAAATGGGCGGAATTGACGAATACCGGATCGATAGTGGTATACATGCCATTTCCTCCGACCTAACCTAAACCAGTTTGCTAGGAACCATAATGAGGATGAACTCTAAATTACCGTACATCATTGAATATTTATAAAATGAGCACACTGATAGACATGGTTACTGGAATTATTTAATTTTATATTTTCCTAAATCGTGTTATATTATTAAGTGAAAGTTCAAGGCTGCGTTTTTTTTCACTCGTCATCGCGCGGTACTCGGTCTTGTTCAGAGTTTTGGTAGAATACAAATTAAAATTGTGATAACTAATAACTTACTATTTGTCAATAACAGTATTATGTTGTTATGCATTATGTTTGTTAATTAAACAAATTTGTTCGTTTGTTTGAATAATTTCCTCAGTCCTTCACACTGCCGTTCAGTCCCTCACAATGACAATTTGTTTAATTCAAATTTTCTGCTTAACTAAGAATTTCTATGAAGGAACATTAAAGGTCTTTATGTGAATCTCATGGCTTAATCAGAAACAAAAAAAATATTGTAAAAAAATTGACTTTTCTTTAAGTGAAACAATTATGTCAAAATTCCTTGGTTTCAGAGAATCATCTATATAATTGTATATTTAAATACATTTATCCGAGCTGCTCTATTTGAGCTTGAGGCTTTTTAGTATAAATAAATTAAATCATGACTCTGAGACTTTTTTTGCTCTTAAACTGGTTAGGTTAGGTATAAAATATTACACGCCTGACGCACGTAAATACATACTACATAATAATACATAAGCCGACTGAAGCACGACACAAACTAAATTAGTTTTGTGTCAATAAATATTATTACCCAGATACGATAAACAGATAGACAGACAAGTAAGAAAAAAATCATACTGAAAGGGTAGAAAAAAATAATGCTTTCATCTTTATAATTGGTTATCATTGAATAACGTCTATAGATAAGATATCGCACCAAGGACGTCCGGAGAGTAAAGATACAACCCAATACAAGCCCCCCCTCCCCCAAGGCCGTAGAAAATTTTTTTTGCTATGTTGGCCACAATGCAGTTAAGCTTATTTTTTCCCCTTCAAAACAAGACCAGAACGAGTTCAGTACGTCAAAAACTGTGGTCACAGGAATTTTTCTCGTGAAACATGTCGATCGAGTCTTCCGCCAAGTGGAGAATCCGCGCCAAATCCGTGAAATCGAGTGCAGACCTCCAAAGAGTTTTTGGAACGCTATGAACTGAAGGGTGATGATTTTCTCAAGTGTATTTCTACTGGAGATGAAACTTGGGTTGCACACTATACGCCTAAAACCAAGAGACAGTCCGAACAGTGGCGTCACACCACTTCACGGTTCACCCTCAGCCAATATTACCTAATACGTAATATAAAATTATTAAATACATATAAATTTAACATTGAGTTAACTAGTATTTGATAGAATGAGTATTATAATAAAAACAAATTTAATATACTCAATGTTTATTAATATAATGTATCACACAAAATCTAACTTAATTTATTATTAAATTACAAACGTTTTTGTTTAATACAAATCCATAACGTTTTATGAGTGTAATGTTTTTTTTTATGTGCGGCGATGGTATAAAATGCTACGTGACGTTTTGGGGGTTGTGGTGGCGGCGAGGGTGTTGCAATAGCAACAATGCATATTGGACTCCCTCAGCTGTTACCGAGCGTTATTATTGATTTATTACGGCGAAACGCACGCTACCGTTTTTACTTCACCATGGCGGATGGCCTTGCATGCAGTACGGTACGAGACGACGTCATACGCGCATTGAACGTTGAACAATTTTTTTTTTTTTAATGTTTTAACAATTTACGATAAAATTCATCAAATGACATATTATTTCTTTACACCGTACTCATTCGTCATACAGCATTACAAAATGTTTTAAAACTGAACACAAGGTTGCAGCGTAATATTAGGTACAGTATAAAACGTATATTATAAGGACTCTGGTCAATAGAATAACCGTACATGTATAAAACGTAACGCCAAAAGAACCTTGAATAATATTTTATTATAATGTATAACAATAACAAAACTATTGGAATTTGCTTTTTATGCAGCTTTTAGCTTCGAAACAAAGCTGCGAAGGTATCATATGTGTTTTTTTTTTTATCTGTATGCACTGTAACTTTTTTAATACTGGACCAATTCCTTCGAGTAGCAACTCTATAAATCACAAATTTAATCTAGTTGGTACTCTGAGGAGGTAAAAGTCGAAAAATTTTACTTCTACACAGTCGAAATTTGAAAAAAACAAAAAAAAACCGTACGAGTTTTTAAGTTAGAAATTTACTGGCTATAATTTCGAGAAAAAGAGTCGGATCGAGTTGAAATTTGTTAGGAATATTTATTTGGTATGCCCTCATACGTCAGTTGTATCAAATTTAAATTATACCCATTTCCCATCCATCTCCCTAGGGGGAGGGGGGTACAAGTTTTTTGGGGTTTTTAGGCGTAATTTTAATTCCTTTAAGTTGAAAATTTGCCAGTTGTTTGAACTCATATGTATCCATAACATATTAAACGAAAAACAAATTCGGCACTACAGTTTTTCTTTAATTTCCGGAAAACTATGTTTTCGCAGATTGCGTACATATTAACAAAAACCCCTAAAATCTTAAAAAAAATGTATCAAATCATTAAAACAATTTTATGTATATCTATGCAGAATGATACTATGATAAATGCGATGTCTGTAAACAAAGTTTTAATATACAATCTTACCTCAAAACTCACGAAAGAACACATACCGGCGATGTAATGTCTGTGTAAAAACATTCTGTCATTCTGTTGGCTTTGAGGAGAAATTGTTTATAATATATGTAAATTTGTATTTTAAAATTGAATTTTAATTAGAAATATTAATTAATTTTTATGCAACGAATCATGTTTATGGAAAGATTAAATTAAAGAATAATAATTTATTGTGTTACTTGTAAATTGTGTTTATTTTTTTGTTGAGTTAATTATAGATTTAAAATAATAAGTAGGTAATATAGTTTCAATTCTTTATTAAAATACCTATGTTCATAATTCACTTTAATAACTGGGGAATTTAAAAATACTATTTTTTGTTAGATTTTTATGTTTTCAAATAAAAATAAAAATTACAAAATTTTTACAACATATAATATTTCTATTTAATCGTATTTGAGTAGAAAATCAACATAGTCTTTAAAAAGTTTAACTTATAATAATATAATATACAAATATTCTTGCACAACCGCATTTAGTGAAACCAATGTGTTTTATACTTTATAAACCAGTGTTTAACATGTTGTATAATTTGGTAGTTAAATTGTACTGTTAAATTAAGTAACTCCAGGTTGTACAAGAATCACCAACAGAATACATATGTATGTATTTAATATTTTTGTTAGTTGGTAGAAACATATGTACTCATATAAATTGACATTTTATTCTTGACTAAAATGAACAAACATGTACTTAAATCGAAGTGTGTGGAAATTAATCATATGGTCGCCAAGATACTCTGAAAAGTCACCAAGCAAAAGCACACGGCTCATAGTTTCATACACCTCACGTGACTGTTTGGCAGTTTTAAAAATAGTTTTTTAAAATCTATTTGTTATTATTTTATCATTTTTTTTACTAATGGTTTAATTCAGATTTAATATATTTTTATTAATTGTCTTATAATTTTTTATTTATTACTATCGTTTAACAAATCAATAACATAAGTGTTATTTTTCCATTTAATTTTTCGACGGTCACATGAATTGTTTAGTTTTTACATTTTTATAATGTATTTTTTAATTTTCATAAACTACACATGCAATATGGTAAACAATATTATTACTATTTTTTGTTATAAAATGTTATTAGTCTTTTTTAGTTACTTTTGGTTTTTAAGAGAAATTGTTTATAATATATGTTAATTTGTATTTTAAAACTGATTTTTAATTAAAAATATTTTTTTATTTTTATGCGTTGAATTATGCGAACCATGTTAAAAATTAAAAATAAAATGTATTATTATTTCGGCAATTATGATTACACAATGGTAGTAGTTTCATTTATATTTTTTAGAATAAGTTTTTCGTTTTTTTTAATTCGAAGAATTATTAAGTTTGATTGATAGTAAACCTAACCTGACCAATATTAATAAATATCATTCGGACAAATCAGCAGAATATGGTTACTTCAATATTTACATTTATTATTAAATAATTAGTAAAAATAATTTTGTTCAATATATTTGTGTGGTTAGTAGTTCCCAAGAAAACATAAAATCGAGACATTTTATTTGTATTCACATCATTAATGTGACTTAGAAAATAAGAAATATTATGTTATTATCTAGAAAACAGCTAAGCAACTATAGTTATTATAGTTATTAAGAAAAAATCAAATATTTCAAAAATCCTAAACTACAAAACAAAATGCATTTTATTGTATACGCATATTTTGGTAGCAATGTTATCATTGTCAGGGATTACAACAGATTTGGCCTAAACTTTTTTAAATATTTGATTATTTTAATTCTTATCCATCATATTATAAGAGGTTAGTGAAGTGCGGTGAAACCACCGTTATATTTATATACCATTCGGTTCAAAAAAATGAATAAAATTTAAAGACAATATGACGACAGTCAGTTTTGGTTGAAACAATGCTTAGTTTGGACTGTGATTGGTTTAGAATATGCAGGTTTACACAGTGCTAATTTTTTAATAGATTTTTATTTTAAGTTATAATTAAAACAGCTATAGATATTTTGTTAATACACGCAGCTATTAAAAGTCGAAAGATGAGATTTATAAATTATAATGTAAAAGTTCAAATTTATCATTTTTTGACTAATATAATGACAAAATCCTCATGACCGTAAATAATACGTTATTATTTTTTTGTTTTTGCAGGAACCTCATTTACAGCCGTCAATTCTTGGGGGTCCTGCTGAAATACAACATTTCTTATTCCTGGATTTAGACAGTTGTAGTTATAGTTAGTATAAACAAAATAACTGATAATTTTAAAATAATAATTGTTTTACCTTACTTTAGGAAACTTGAATAATGGTAACCGATTCTTGCAAGTTTTGCTGACTGGCAACATATCTTCTGTTTTTAATTTAATAATCGTTCGAGGTAAGTATAGCCATAAATAATAATGATTAAAATAATTATTAATTTGTGTATTTTTTTAACGAACATAATTTACAGCGACCAATATTTGTGACATTTGCTGAGTGGCTACAAGTCATCTTTTTTTTAATTAGAATAGTCGTGTTTGGTGAGTATATACATAATAATTGGTTATTGTAAAATGTAAAATTTTTTTTTTCCCCTCGGAAAGTATTTTTTTATAGCAATCAATCTTATAGCTGCTCATTACAACTATTGTAATTATCAATTGTAGTATTTGTTGTCAATTCATAGTCCGGAATAATTTATAAATTACAAGTGTTTCAAAGAACTCAAAATTCTTTATGATTAAGTTTATAATATATCATCCTAACAAGATGTGGATTTAGTGGAACTTATAATTTTGTAGTTTTTCTTTTTGAAGTTTTTTGTCCATATTATTGTGGAATGTTAATTTTTTTTTTTAACATCCTATGAATTGGCAAACAAAAATCATAAACCCTTACTCCTAGAAGATGTGGAAACCATAGCTTTTTTTACATTATTAAGGTTAGTTTTAAGATTTGAGGACTGAAAATTAGAGTGAATAGATCCTTTGGGGATATAAGGAAAGTCCAAAAAAGAAGAAAAATACACTTTGACTATACTACTAGGTTGCTCTATAAGAGTGAACATAACAGGTAGTCAATTACGACTTATGGGAAACAACGGTAACATAATGTTATTGACAGCCGATCTACCAATCATGTATTCACTCTAATACTAAGTCCCAATGTGTGTTCTACACAAAAAAAAAACAAAACAAAACGTATAACACATCGTTGTATTACCAATACCATCTTAGCTCCGTCCCAAAGCTAAAACACATAACTATAAAGCCAATACCTACTCTTCCTGAAATTGAAGCTAAGATACTATAATTGAATTGTTAAATTAATTAACAACTTTTTATTCGTTAAAAAATATGGTTGAGAGTGGGACTATAACATTTATAATTGTCTTAATGTAATTATAATTTTATTATTGTCTTATTGCAATCAAAATGATTTTTATTAATAAACAGCTTAGTGGGATCGACACAGTGGTTTAAAATCTGAAATATTTGGCCAAAACCCCATAAATATTAGTTTTTTTGTTGGAGAGTATCGTGTAAAAAATTGGTATTTAAAAAAAAACAGTGATTTCGAACCACTGCATAATGGAAACGGTACATCTTGGATAGTTGGAGATCATAGGGATTCAAGAGTTATTATAACTCTTTTTTTTGTATTTCTTTAATAAAAAATAATATAGACCACACGTTTTTGAGAAAATTAAATATATTATACCCCTCCCCCTTCGCTAAATTATATTTAGACTAATTTTCAGGTCTGAAAGCCATAAACTACACCTAATAGAGTGAGATAAAGTAAAAAATGTCTACCCATTGGGGTAAATGGATTTGTATACTTTTTTTAGTTTATCAAAGTATACCTATTCATAAAACTATGTTTAAAAAACTTTCCATACAAATTTATAAACATTCGACTATTTTTAAACTAAAACGTTATAGCGCATCATAATTTCAAGTTATGATATGTAAACTGTCTGGGTATTTTTTTTTATTTTAAACTAAATTTTAGTCATATGATTTATGTCGCTTATTTAAAATAAAATAAATTTTAGACACCCTTAAACCTTGGCCTATTAATATATAGGTGTTGGCTATTATTCCCTAATAGTCAATTAAGGTTCCTCAATACCAAATAATTTTCATCTACTTTTACCTTATTAATTCAATAATTAAAATTGAAATCATTTGCATGAAAATTGTTTGTTTGAAATGCAATATAAAATTATTTATCATATTTAAGTAATCTAAATTTTAGTTCTTGTCACTAATATTCCGTCTTTTTTTTAGATTATACCGCACTACCAACACTAAAAATTCGTTCCACTGATGCAACGGCAATGACAACGGCAACGACAGACAGGTCTAATTACGAAATGTAATTGCAATCGACTTTTAAAATGTATGATTTTGTTTTGTTTTAGAGTGGACTACTACCAAAACATTAATCTTGATACTTAGTGTTTTATAACAGTTTTTCGTTTTTAATTTTAAAAAATATCACACCTTTTTGTAAACCATTAATGAATAACATAAAAAAAGTTAAAGTGGTTACAGAAAAAACAATCATTATAAAGTATGGTTTAATGTTATAAATTATATTTAATAACTAATTAACTAAGAAAATTATTATAGAATATAGGTTTAACATTATAAACATTACAAACTAAATTTTTTTAATGCAAAGGTACAACTGAACGATTAATATGAAACACATATTTGTTGAAATTAGTTTGATGATCAATGTTTTTAACCACAAATACATTGATTTTATACTTGTTTCTTCTATAAAATTATGATTCTGTTTAAATACTTGTAATAAAATATTTGTTCATGCATTTCAATACTTTTGAATATATTCTCCTTTATATATTGAAAATATATAAGAAAAAGCAGAGTAAAAAAGTAGGAGAGTGACTACACCAAAATTAATTTACTCAAAATTATTTGTTGCGCCTTGGTTCCAAAAAAAAGTCTATTTAATTAAATTGTATTTTTCATGGCCTCTTTGTTTTATTTAAAATCTATTCTAGGAGAATTATTAATTTAAGGGAATGAAAATCCCTTTTACTTTTTTTCTGCGGTAGGTAAATAGGGTTATAGAAAAAATGTTACCTGAAAACCATATCATAAAAATTGATCGTTTGTTAAAATAAAATATGTACAATACCTAAAAGTTAGCATTTAAAACTTAAACAACTACCTAAGTGTACATCAGGAAACTCTGTCTTATTTTAAGACTTTATTTTAAATACGTTTTTTTTTAATGTTTTAGTCAGAATGTACCAATGGGTTAAAATACTTTTTAGAAGTATCCTTTTACAAGACAATATATTATAATTGTTACACTCTAAAAATACCCCTAGAAAAACTTTTACAACAAATATTTCATAGAAAAAGTTACTAGTTTACAATAAATGTTGTAAATTAAAAGCTCTCTGTACAGAAAAAAGTTTTATTCATAATGTGAACTTTGATTTATAGTGTGTATATTCAAATATAGATTAAGCAATGAATATCATTACTAAACGTGACTACTTTGTTTTTGCATATCCAATATACATGAATGTTTGCTTATCAATAATATTAGAATACATTAAATGCGCTTAATAAAACTGCTTTGTATAAAATTACGCTACAGTGACGACAATTATTGCTTTTTTGATTTTAATTTAAACGTTCTGTTTATTGTGTTACGACCTTACTTTGTCTGATGGCAGTACAAACACGGTGTTGTAGCGTTGCATATTTAATTGCTTCTGAAAAAGTGGTCGTTTTTCCGCCCTAAATTTGAGCTGATATTAAATTTTAGTCATATGCTTTGTGTCGCTTGTTTAAAATAAAAAAAATTTTAACCATCTCTAACCCTTGATCTATTTATAAAAAGGTGTTGACTGTTTTTCCCTAATAGTCAATAAAGGTTCCTCATTACCAAATAATTTTCATCTACTTTTACCTTATTAATTTAATAATTAAAATTGAAATTATTTGCATGAAAGTTGTCTGTTTGAAATGCAGTACAAAACTATTTATCATATTTAAGTAATCTAAATTTTAGTTCTTGTCATTAATACTCCGTCTTTTTTTAGATTATTCCACACTACCAACACTAAAAATTCGTTCCACTGGTGCAACGGCAATGACAAAGACGAATAGAAGGTCTAATTACAAAATGTAATTGCAACCGACTTCTATAATGTATGATTTTCTTTTTCTTTTAGAGTGGGTATAGAATTTAAAATTCTTATACTTTGAGTAGAGGTTTTTTTTTTACTCTCCTAATTTATTTTCAATAACGATATTTTTAGACATATTTTTGGCTATGAAAATAAAAATGTACTAGCATCTTCAACTTTATGCATACTGCTGAACTAATTTTTACTATTCTACCATGAGCTACAAAACATGTTTTTTTAATTTTGAACACTTTCATGTAATTATTACACATAGAATTATATTATATTTAAAAGAACTTGATTGATATTAACCAAAAAGGCACATACATTATCATAAAAGTAATTCCATCTCGTTACGATATGTTTTTATAACAAAACCTAAACAACTTTTGATAATGTCAGCTATGAAGAAAGAATTTGGCTCAGTGAAAATATCTTTGAATTATATCTTTAAAAATTTGTTCGACTTGGCTTCTTTTCCTGAGAACATTCTAATAAAGCTTCAAAATCCTAAATAAGGTATTAATCATAATATATTAAATTTAAACTACAAAACGTTTAAGATCTGTGACATACGGTATTTATTGATAGAATATTTTAATATATACCTTTGTAGTTTATTGTAATTCTAGTTTTGCAAATGTTGGAATTTTTTTCGAGGTAAATAAAATATTTAAATGAATTTGGGACTATTTAAAAAAAAGTTGAGTTGCACACAATGCTTAAATGTTGAGTGTTCTAACATTTCACAAAATGACATAACAAATGATTTTATTGATACTCTAACTTTTAATGTATTCAATTGGATTAAGCTTTAGTTTAGATTTTAGAACTAAAGACATAAAACCAAACCAAAAGAGTAAGAATAAAACCCTCACTGGATGAAAGGCTTAATATTATTGTCTCTGTAAACTGGTAATAGTATATTATATCTATAGAAAAAGATACCCAAATTCAAAAGTAATTGGTTGATTTTTAAAAAAGTTTTATCCTGACGTAAAGTTAAAATGGAAAAAGTGTACATATTTAAAATATTGTTTATGCTCTTGATGGCAAGGAAACAAATTGTTTCATGTTTGACATTAGAAAGTACATATAAGGTACTACTTCCAGTCTTATTAAGGAGTTACAAAATCTTAATTTAAAGGTTTAACTATGATGTCTAATTATTAGTTCAGTAATTAGGAATTTTTTTCTGTCTATCACAGCATCTTTGACAGATATTTAAAAAAAAGTTGCATCGAAACATAGCTATGCATAGTCTCTAATATTGATTAAATAATAATCGTAGAATACATTTTTATCATATTTAAAATAATGAGATCTTTATTTATAGGTTCTCTCGTCA